TAGTACTTTTTTTTAAAAACTTTACTACTTTCGTTTTTTTTTTTTCTTTATTCCAACATGTAATCACCAGACGTGGTGACAACACACTCAAGCTTTTTTCAACTTATATGTGTGTGTGTGTGTGTGTGTGTGTGTGTGTGCGTGTGTGTGTGTTTGTTTGTGTGTGTGTGTATGTGTGTGTGTGTGTGTGTGTGTGTGTGTGTGTATGTATGTGTGTGTGTGTGTGTGTCTGTGTGAACTATGCAATGCACAGATTGACAGTTACATCTAAAATAGCTGACAGACTACCTAGCCCGGAAAATAAAACATGAGCGATGGTATGGAACCGTATAAAAGTATATTTGCCTTCGACTTAAGGCTATGCCTTCGGAGAAGGCTATGAAATCGCTTTTGCACTGTTTGGCAGATTAGGCACGATAACTCTTGAAGGCAAGGTTCGAGGTTCACGATTTTTGGCAGGCAGGTTGTCTTGGGGGTGGCCATTGTCAAGGCCAAAAATGGGCTTCGTGTGGGGTTCCTAAGTCACTGTAGTTGACCTTGGTTTTTGGTGTTTTTCCTTGTCATCAAGATATCTCGAGTATCCTTAAATGGATGTTCATGATTTTTAGTGGGCAAGTTACCGTTGAGAATGCTGAGGTCAAGTTCAAAGATGGGCCCCGTGGGGGTTTCTATGTCACTGCAGTTGACCTTTGTTTTTTGTGTTTTTTCTTCTGACCAAGATAACTCGAGAATCTTTTAATGGATGTTCATGTTTATTAGTTGGCAAGTTACCATTGAAAATACCAAGGTCAAGTTCGGATATGGGCTTCGTGGGGGGTCCCCACGTCATTGAATTAGAAATTACTGCAGCGAAACTTCTGGTTTTTAAATCTTGTGATCTGGACGTGCTAGGGTCATGACTTTTAGATGGTACGTAGCTCTTGTGCTCACAAAAAGTGCCATTGGTTTGGGTCCCGTAGCAGCTTGTTTGGGAAATGCAGAGGCATTTGTTTGAAAATGTTTGAAGTAGGATAGCTCAAGAACCGGTTGACGGATTGTTGTTATTTTTGGTATCTCGGTAGCTTAAGTGATGCTTGACCTAATTAGATGACAATTATGCAAATCAAGATCTAATTTACATAATTAATGACAAAAGTCTATAAATCTGCTGCGTTCCATAATAGAACAATTAAAATGGTGGCATATTTAATCAAGAGGAAGAGGAACATTAACAGATATGAATTATGTAAATTGTGACCCAATTTGATTAATCGATAAAAGACATCTAAATGTCTTTTGTACTGCACTAGACCTATTTGGTTTCCACCCTCTGCGGATTACATTGACTTATGCAAACAAGGATAGCTGGAAAAAATTTCCTGTTTGTTGAAACAACAGATCCCTTGCAAAATTGGCGAAGTGGGAGGTCCGTACGTTGCTGTAGTGGGCTTTTGGTGATTGTTGGTTAGTTTGTCAGTAGTTCAAGTTGTGGAAAAGCAATGTCTTGTTTGTTTTTTTATTGTGGATAGGTCAAGGGGTTTAGATTGAGGGTTTCAAGTTTGGAGTCTCTAGTAGGTAGTGGGTAAGTGCAATGGGACATTTTGTGAGAACATTTTCATAAGTGCAGGCCAGGTTTTGCTCCTTCTCGATCGTTTTATGTAACGTTACTACGAATGTAGGTTAAAATAACAATTTACAGGCAGGGAGCTGTCAACCGTGGAAACATATTCTAACAGTTGTTTGTTGAAATAACATCACCTGTCAACAACTTGCATGCTTAACCGCTGCTAATTGACACCTCTGTGTCCTCAGAGTGCGGCACATCTAGGCAGTAGGTGAAAATCTTTCATTCACATCTGGCAGTAGGTGAAAATAACCAAAGCTGGCAAGATGGCATCAGAAGCATAATAAAGTGTGTTTGCATGCAAGAATAGTTTTTGCTTCGAGATTTTTTTCCCACCCATATTTTGCAGAGGAACAACTTGAACCAGAAGTTGCAGGAAATGGCTTCCATTTGTATCTGGAGAAAGAAAAATAATAGAGCTTCCCCCCTATGGAGGTGGGACCATGCCCCCCTCTACGACAATTGCCCATTTTGTGTGAACATTTTGTAGTGTCGACACCGCACGCTTCAACAACGCTGGCTGTATAGAAGAAAACTAATTGAAGGAATTTTGAAGTTTGGATCGCCGCACATCGGAGGGAAGAAAGCATTTCTTTACCTTTCTTGACCAGACTCCCCAGGCCATTTCTCCTCTCCTTTTTGCTGAATTCTACGATCCGTATTTCCGTAGACATGGTACGGGCTAGGTAAATAGTATGTTGCTTCGTTCACAAAAGGACTCTCTGACCACTGTAACTACGATAATCATCTTCAAAAAACCTACACTATACACACACACAACACCCTCCAAAACAATATCTGTCGAAGGCATGAGCCCTCCGAACTCTAGTTTGATACTGGTCGTACAAATGAAAGCTGCAGATCGCTGAAACAGGGTTGACAACACAATTAATCACAAATTCCTTGACACGGTTTGTAAAGACTTTTATCTTGCGCCGGAATGTCATAAAGGTAAAGTCACTTTACCAGTTGCCGGTAGTCAGATACAATGTTATTTTCCTGTGACTAGTTTAAGTCCACAAAAAGAGAACCTCTTATTACTTATCTCTAGACAAAAGGCACACAATCTCCATAACAGTTCAAAAAGAATGTAACAGTGAAAAATTATTTTTGCTCCGGTGCGGGCTACAGTGCCTTATATTTTCAGCTAAAATACGTCAACTGCAGGTGACGATACAAATGTCCTTCTTTGTACAAAGTAGTCAGCTTAGATTTGTTAACGTAAGGATCAACGCTATAAACATGTTTGTGCCCTTCTTACACACCAGGTAATTTTCGTAAATGTAGATTTCATAATTCAATTGCTAGACACTGCAACTGTCATTGTCATACATCTGGAGACAATGGACGGTGGAGAAGGTCAAATCTCGTGGTCCAGGTCGTTGACCTTGTTATTTCAGCAGAACTTCGGTGTTTGTTATGTTTGTCTTGAACATGCTTTAGTATAAAGAACTAAGAATAGTTTTTTTCTTAAAATCGTTCTCGTCTCTTAACAGATGAAAGTACTTTTGATTGCCATCACAACTCTAATCCTGATGAAAGAGAAGGCGGTCGACGGTTTTATTAGCTTTGGACGACGTAGGTCAGGTGGTGGTGGATGCTCACCTGTAAGCTGCATATGGGGCGACTTTAAGCCATACGGTGGATGCAGTAGAACTTGTGGAGAAATGTAAGCACCTTTTTATCTTAGTTTTTATTTCTAATTTCTTCCTCTTGTCCAAATGGTTTCAAATGGTAGTCTTATAGTAAGACAAAAACTGGACAATTTAAATACACCTTATTTGTAGTAAATTTTGAAAGTACACACTGTTTTTCAAGATGAATTTGGTCGTGGTGACTTCAGTTTTTATACAATCTCTGCTGTAGTCGGTATATCGTATATTATGAGTATAAATATCTATAAAAATAAAGAAATAGCTAAAAAGAAATAGCTAAACAGACAGACACAGACACAGCGTTACACAAACGCAAATATACATACACAGATATTAAATACATACATATGTCTATCTATCTATCTATCTATCTATCTATCTATAAATATATATATATATATATATATATATATATATATATATATATATATATATATATATATATATATATACATAATCAGATGACAATTGTGCAAATCAGGAGCTAATTTGCATGATAAATCTGCTTCGTTCGATAATAGGACTATGAAACACTTGTGACATGGAGAAAAGGAAAAACATCTGAGGATATATATTATGTAAACGAAAACCTAATTTGCATAATTAATGGTGAATTGTTATAGTTTCATAGTTGTAATTGCTGGGAATTTCATACTTGAAGTTAGGTTTAGGTGAACATCAATAAAGATAATTTATTCAAATTATGACCTCATATGCATAATTTATGATGAAGTGCTAGAATACCCTTTTTGTTAAGATAAGGCTGTCATTGGGTGGAGAATATACTCAACTGATAAAATCCACGCAAATGAGGCTCTTATTTGCGAAATAAAAGCTCAAAATTATATAATTCTTTAACCGGTTAAATTGATTTGGCGAAGGTATGAGATCGTGGAACTATTCTTGTGAATGATATTTGGTAGAACGGTGAAGTGGTTAAACAAACGAATTTGAAGGTCATCGTCAAAAATAGTTCTTCTATGACGTTCCCACGTTACTGCCTGGGAGTTATGACATTCCTTCAATTTACCTCCAAATGCCACAAAGGGTCTAAGCCATTTCAAGTTATCGTAATCACAATGTGACAGACGGCAAACACACACACACACACACACACACACACACACACACACACACACACACACACAAACGCCTTTTGCTAAACATTAAAAAAAACTTGCCTGATGACGAAGGCATGTGTTTCACGAACTCTAGTTTTGATAATATTAACATTTTACGCAAGAAGTTTATATTGAAATGTGGTATATGTTACTTACAGTGGCGTACAGCTGTATGTACGGGGATACAAACGGGCCCCATCTTGCGGCGGAGCCGGTTGTGTTGGTGAAATGGCCAGAAGTGAGCCTTGCGACGTGAGTCCAGACTCGTTGTGCATCCACGGTAACTGGGACGGAAACCAATGCCAGTGCGATCCAGGATACACCGGGAAATGCTGCAATGAAGGTTTTGTATCAATTGCTTTAATAACTTTTCATCTTAACCTGTCGCTTAGAAAGCATGGTGTGGTGGCTCTCCCTACATCCTTCCCCTCTTACAGTGTATTTCGTCTTCCTCTTGAAATCATCCACATACTTCCAACTCGGGCACGTGATTGGTCACTTCCTATCGATCAACTGTCAATACCATCTCCTGACCTCTTTCGGTTGTGATATAATCAATCTCACAACTCACAAGTCATCCACTCCCAAAATGCAAAAAGTAATAAGTCAAAGTCACTTTGGGTCCTGTGGCGTAGCGGCTCGACTCGGAACCAAGAGGTCCCGGGTTCGAGTCCTGACATGCCACCGATCTTGTGCCCTTGGGAAAGGCACTTAACATGACTTTCCTCACTTCGCTCAGGTGAAAAAGACGATTGTATTGTATTTTCCCCTGCGTTGGTGGCCACATTAATATAAGTTGAAAACTTCAGTGTGTCGTCACCACGTCTTCTGATTGCATGTTGGAATGAAAAAAAGTAGAACAACAATATTTTCGAACGACTTACATTATATTTGTTGAGAATATTAGGTCTCCGAACTTGTCCATGCTGAGCACAGATTTTTCATCCCTCCCCTGCAGTCGTGCAGGTCCCTTCCTCCTCTAGTTTTCTGAAAGAAACCTTCTCCTATATACATACATATATTATGCATCCAGCGTTCAGGCTTCTGGGCTTCCAGCTCTAATTTCTGTCTCTGAGAATATAGAATATAGGCTTCTATAAAAAAACGGTTATCTGGTATAAACTTATAAACAAAACAGCTATACATAAAGATTATACACGCAATTTACAAAAGACACCTGTATCTTGTCTCTTCTCTACAACTTTTTTGATCTCAACATTTAATAACCAAACATGGCGACGGCACATTTAAGTTATATCAACTTATTTTATGCCACCACCAACACCGAGTACAGATACAGGACAGGACAATACTCATTGTCACTTGAGTTAAGTGAGGAGAGTCGTGTAAAGTGCCTTTCCCAAGGGCACAAGCTCTTTACCACTTTATCTGCATGTTTAACTTATAGGAAACTTAAACATTTAGAAATACACTGAAATGCTCACATCATCGACCGGAAATATTATAACAAAATGTTCTGTTGGCTAGGCAGTGTTTGTGGTTTGCAATTGGACACTGCAAATTTTCTTCAATTCTCCGATTCCTTGCTTCCCATAGAACATATCAAAACACACCGTGACGCTTGAAGTTAAATACAGTAGTCAATGCCTGCCCTACTTGCTACAGCATGTTACAGTTTTTGAGAGAAAACAAGTAAACATTTCAGGCTTCTGTCGGGTCAGTGTCCACAATTTGATGGGCTGTAAGGTTGTGTAATGTTCTTTATAGTATCTCAGGCACGTTGGCTCTCAGCTATCCTGGCTTTTCAACATTATTCCTCCTCTTTATTATTCCCACATATTCATACACATTAGTGACACACACACACACACACACACATACACATACTCACCAACCCCCCCCCCAAACACACACACACACACTCGCTTACACACATACAAAGTACAACCAAACATACACAAACGAAAACACAAGAACATTATCTTAATACCAAGCCGTAAATGCTCTTTACAGTGATGTGGGAGAGTATTTCTGTTTCAGTGGTTTACTGCCCCCAATTGGAGCATCCGCGTAACGGGCATGTGTCCAGTACATCACGAGCTGAACACGGTGACACAGTCACCTACACATGTGATCCAGGCTACCAGTTAAGTACAGGCTCTGCCGCAGAAGTACAACGCGAGTGCACTTCCGGAACGTGGACAGGACGTATACCATACTGTGATCGTGAGTACCTTGGTTCTTCTGTACTGTCTTATACCCTTACAAAGTCATCACACCGATCGACTTATTACACCTAACCATTGAACATCTAACTCAATACATTTTTTTAAGCTACCTATTGTACTTGGTGACAGTGTTTATGTCAATTCCCGACCTACCATCTACCCCGGTGTACCTCTTCAATTCCTACCCTCCACCCCGGTGTACCTCTTCAATTCCTACCCTCCACCCCGGCGTACCTCTTCAATTCCTACCCTCCACCCCGGTGTACCTCTTCAATTCCTACCCTCCACCCCGGTGTACCTCTTCAATTCCTACCCTCTACCCCGGTGTACCTCCTTAATTCCCAACCTATACCAAGGTGTACCTCCTAAATGCCATCCTCTTTCCCAGTGTATCTATATAATTTCCACCCTATACACCGGTGTATCTCCTAAATTCCCACCCTATACACCGGTGTATCTCCTAAATTTCCACCCTATACACCGGTGTACCTCCTTAATTCCCACCCTATACACCGGTGTATCTCCTAAATTCCCACCCTATACACCGGTGTATCTCCTAAATTCCCACCCTATACACCGGTGTACCTCCTTAATTCTTGCCCTCTATTCCGGTGTATCTCCTTAATTCCCACCCTATACACCGGTGTACCTCCTAAATAACCACTCTTTCTCCCCGTTGTATCTCCTAAATTTCCAACTTCTACCCCGGGGTACCTCATTAACGCCCAACGTCTACCCCGGTGTACCTCCTCAATTCCAATTCTTTTCCCCCTTTGTACCCCTTTAATTCCCTCCCTCTCGGTGTACCTCCTCAATTCGGACCCTCTACCACGGTGTGCGGTGCTACGTTCTCAATTACCACCGTTCGGAAACCCTAGCGGGTCACATAAAAATATTTACAACTGAGATGTCTTTTTTTCTGTTCCAGGAGTCTCGTGCCCTCCATTGGACGCTATAGAAAACGGCTACACGTATGGAGGCACATCATTCGGGGACGAACAGTTATTTTCCTGTTTCCCAGGGTACCAACTGAGTTTGGACCGCTCAGACGACATGTACAGAGCGTACATCTATAATGTTTCTGGGGAAAACGTAACTTCCATGATGGAAGAATTTTCTGCAACTTTGACAAACAACACAATCGAACCGACTTCACCCACCGGTAACGTTAACGTAACAGGCATGACCGAAATTTGTGAAATTTTACAAAACAACACAGTCGAAATATGTACACCGACCGGCATCTCAACTGTCCCGAACGAAATGATTTCACCGACTGCAAATCCAACAACAACAACAACAACAACTACAACAGCAACAACAGCAACAACGACAACAGTCCCTCCCCCACCAACCTCAGTTGCTCTCAAATGCCAGGCAGACACAACGTGGGACAAGAGTGCGCCTTCCTGCAGAGGTATTTTTTTATTCCAGGAAGAACACCCTTCTATACGTAGATTTCAAGCTAAAATGTGTGTGTAAATAACTACGTACTTTAAAAACTACTCTTTTGTGGCATCTCCTGAACAATTCAGCCTGACGTCAACTACGATTAATCGTAGCAATGTTAAACGTGTGTTTCGTACGCTCAAAGATCAAGTTGTTAGCTCTGTTGTTTGATGACAAAATGTCTTACCATCTATCTACTGTGTGTTGATACCTTATCCTAAATTATCATATCCAAGCAAATCTTTCGGTGGCCGCAAGACAGTACCAACTTGGCCTGGCAGTATTCATTTGCCATACAGTATCCATTCGGTGGCTAAAGGATACTGTCTGGCGAATGGATACTGCCAGGCCAAGTTGGTACTGACTTGCGGCCACCGAAAGATTTGCTTGGATATTACGTAAATTATTGCAATACCATACTAGGTATTGTTTCCTCATAACTTATTCAGCCCGCCAGTGCCCTGCACTTGCCCCACCGAAGAACTGTACAGTGACAGGCGGGAACGACTACCTCGACACTATGACGTTCATCTGTGATCCTGGGTATATAATCAGAGGCAGCGAAACACGCACCTGCATGGCAGACGGAAGTTGGACAGGGGGTTCATCTGACTGTGTTCGTAAGTACATAATGTATAGACGCAACTTAGTTCAAGCATGACCTTGTGCAAATCCCCACAAATACGTAACGTTACTCTTTTTTATCTGTCCATATGTGCCCGCTTGTCTCTGTGTGTTTCTGTGTTTAAGTATATGTGTGTGTGTGTGTGTGTGTGTGTGTGTGCGTAGATATTATGTATATGCATGCATGTATGCTTCGTTACAAGTGTACAAATTAAGACATATGACGTAACGCTTAATTTTAAAAAAAGTATTTTAACAACGCCACATACAAAGAAACCAATTAACAAAATAATATTGACAAAAAAGCTATACAATAAAACAATAAACAAAATCAGTCGTTCCCCTATAACCCGGAATTGTAATAAACTTTTTTGATAGCTTACTTGATTGTATATTTGAGAACTTATTTATGATATGCATGACGAAATATGAATATATGTATGTATGCGCGTGTCTGAATGTGCAGTGAATATTCATATGCCCATTTGTTCTAAAGTGACAACATACTCTGATGATGACTATTTCCAGTGAAACGGTGTGCGTGTCTGGAGGCCCCACGTTTTGGCGGTATTACTGGGATAGTCGGCTGTTACGTGGGCGAGACGGCAATGTTCACCTGTGAACCTGGGTACGTACTGGAGGGCAACGCCACCAGGTCATGTCAGATCACACAACAGTGGACGGGATCGCAGCCCTTCTGCGTCAGTGAGTAAATTTTCTTCACTTTCAAATAGGTTAGAACAGGGCAAAGTAACAAAGAAAAGTTAGCTATCACAAACAAAACGGAATTAAAGAGACTTGTACGCGTACTACACCAACCAAGAGGTTTATTCAGCCGACGTTTCGGTGACCGTCTGTCACCTTCCTCAGGGTATATGTAACGTTAATTCTGACTAGTTCACATTGAACAACACAGGTGTCGCTGCTGTAGATGCGTTCTCAAATGCAACGTATTTAGAGTCAGAACCAGTCTGGATTGCCCTGATAAGAAAGATGGGAGGCTGATGAAACAATTTACGGATGTTGTGTTTTTTCAATTTTCATTTTTCAATAATTTACATCTGTATTGAACAGTGCTTCAGACAACGAGTTTGCCTTCAGCTTTCACCAAATTCGCATTAGCAGACACAATGCTGAACGTCCGAAATTTATTAGCCTGCCCGGAAAACATGATGCCTATTTTCTGTGTGTAAGCTTTATGAAATTCAAAAGCTCTGCAACAGTGTTCAGTGAGTACACTGGACTTGCTATCGACTTATCTATTTCTTCTCACAATATTTCATCTTTACACAGAGGCAACATGTCCTCCACTGAACACTCCTACCAACGGCATGAAGTTTGGGGGAAATGAGTACCAGGATCAGGTCACTTTTATTTGCATCACTGGGTACGAGATTGTAGGCACCAGTACCTTGACCTGTCAGGCCAGTCAGACATGGAGTAGCACAGAACCAGTGTGTGTCCGTGAGTTTTATTTGATTTTGATTGTTGCCCAAGGATGGCTATCAAGCTAATTAAACTTTTAAGTTTAGAACCTTGCGTCTGATCGATAATATATCAGTTGCTGAGTCATCATCTTTATCATTAAACTCATATTGTTCCAATCTGAATGTTTATTTATCATTCATAACCATTACAATTCTACCCTAATTCACCAACTTCATCTGTCAATCCTTCGTAAGTATAATGCAAACACTAAAACTTACATGGTGTTTAAAGTACATGTATGCTTGTTGAAATTTGTATATCTCCCAATGCAAAAAGTACGAATCTTTGGCTGTCCTCCTGCATTATCCATCAGAATTGAAATGACCGATCACCTATATAGGCCGCAGATAACCTTACGCTTATTCGCACTTGGCGTCAGAAATTGGTAATTGATACAGCAATCAGAAAGTCTATACTGCCTGTAGTATTTACCTATGACTGAAGAGCATTGGTCTCTATTTCTGGTATTTTGCGGGAACAACTGTTTTTAACAGCGCGCGGAAATATCCCTCCTTGTGGTAAGGTTGGTAATTCTTTCTGTCATCATAGAGAGTTAAGTTCACGATTCGGTCGTCACAGATTTTTTTATTGGTGACTTCACGCGTCTGTATGGCCACGTTACTTACTTATATTTTCTTAATCATTTGATTTGATAGTAAGACTGCAGTAGGATAGTCCAAAATGTGGTATTTTGTTTGGAAAATGTTTTAGCTTTGTGCTAGCTGAGTTCAACTAGACGTGTCATAGCAGAGAGTTGCCATGTACCAGAAACTTACCCAGATTGATCCAAGGCCCTACCCACCACAAAAACCTCACTAAAAGTATTTCGAACTTAGACAACACACATTCAATGGTGATCTAATAAATCAAAACTAAATTTTAGGACCAAGAAACCCGTCGTGGGTAGCTTGACACATCCTTTTTCTGTCTTCTTTAATTTTTCTATGTCTAAAAGTCGAAAAGTTACAAGAAAGAAAAAAGTGAAGAAAACTCTTGTATCTCCTGACTAGTTTAAAATCTTATTGTTATACCTCAGTTAAAAACGGGTAAACAACAACAAAACTTATATTACAGCGCCACACAAAAGCTACACGAGGTTAGACAAAGACTTACATAAGAAGTACATTTCTTAAACAAACCTTAAAATGACTTGCCCAAATTATTTGACAGGTACGAGGTTTGTAAGAAACTACAGTACATGCTTCTGCTGGGTGAACGATATTTCTCGGTTTTACCCACTTGGAAAATTAGAATGTTGTAACCGGCAGCCCACCACAGATGCCTGTAGATATTTAATGTATCCTTTGTATTTGTCTTAATTTTGTATTTGACCCTTAGGTTCACAGTGCCCGGTACTACAAATCCCGGCCAACGGAGACATGACGGGAGGGAATGGATATGGAGATACCGTGTCATTCATGTGCGAGATAGGTTATCGGCTGGAAGGAAGTGGCACAAGAACGTGTATGGCGAGCAAGACTTGGAGTGGAATAGAGACCTCATGTGTCTGTAAGTTGTGTTATTGTTTAACGCACTTGTAGTACATAACGTGCAACAGAGTAAAACGAGATGTAACAAATCCTAACCCTCGACTCAAAAAGATTTTTTACGAAGCAACTCTGGTCTTTCACTTATTGACAAAGACTACAGTTTGTTCATGGTGGCTTTTACGGGCATAAAAGCGCTACACATTTGGTGGACTATTTCATTACCTCAGGTGAATACAGGTTATATTAAAATTCCATATTAGTTTGTATTTGTATTGCATAAAACGTTCATATGAACATGTTTAATTCATTTGCATTGTATTGTAGGACGTATGTTGTATTTTCGAAAATCATGCATGATTAAGGATCCAAGACTGCTTCTGTGCAATTTTATATATGTACTAGTAGTATCACACACTGTTGCAAGTTTGGCTTTACAACTGAGTCTTAAAAGAATAACCTATTAGGATGGTTTTAGCCAATTAAAGACGTACATAATGACAATCTAATGACGTCACATAATCTGAATAACCCCAAAATTGATTTTTTTGTACACCATCCCCTGAAAATGATGTATAAGTATAAGTTGTCGGCTATTCCAAGATCAGGGTGTACCAATTTCATACTGCACTGTTACTAGTATATCATTCTTACTAAATATTTATTGTATTCTGTTGACATGTTTTAAACATATCATCTAACTAGAGAGGCCGACATTTGCTTGGGAGCAAATACAGCATATTTCAGTCCATCTCCCTCCCACGCAAAAGTGGACTATTCCAAACTTACCCCAGTGTAAAACTGGCAAAGATTCTCAAATAAATGAATTATATAGTAGCCATGTAATTGAGAACAAAGATGCAAGAACAAGCACATTGAATCTCGAAAGCTTTACTAATCTTCTTACAGGTATGCAAATACTAACAATGATGAGATTTGATACATTTTGAAGGTCTTAGGCACATAAAATTGAATGTGTGGGTCATTATGCACCACTTAGGTGCAATGTGACCTCAGGTAACCCGCAATGGAACACCTGTTCCATGGCCAACGGCAGATAGAACGTGCCATTCTTTAGATAGAACATGGAACGGGTATAGCACTTCTGGCCCTTTTTTTGGTGTAAATAGCCATTAAAGTCCCCCAAATGAGTCATTTGGAAGTGGTGTATGCCAAATATGTGACTGTTGTTCTGTAGACACATGTTCAAGGTACCCTTATACCGAATTTCAGATCATTTGGTTGTAACACCAGGGCTCAGGATACCAAAAATCCATTTTTGGACGAAAAATCGACCCCAAAAACCTTCAATTAAAAGTTTTTACAAAGGCATATATACAAAAAATAGAAAAAACGCCTGGGGGTATTGGCCCACTCTACCTCCATGCCAAATTTCAAGTCATTTGGCTGAATGATGGCGGAGTTGAATCCCTTTGACTGTTTGGCAGGAGGAGGAGAAGGAGAAGGAGAAGAAACATCAGAGAACACAATATATTTCATCCATACCATGGTATGGACTGAAATATAAATACAAGTATTCTCAAGATAATCATGAGGCCGTTTGGTAGGTAGCTGTTCAAAGCATTATCCTAGGACCAACTTTTTGCCCAAAATTGCAATAACATTTACGTTAAATTGTTGTACTTAAAAATGAATAATTTTTTTAATAAACTATTAGGTAAGTTCTGACCAAAAACGTTAACAATACTTGATTTGATAAACGTTACAAAAATGCTTTTTTACACTTTATGACAAAATATCTCCTTGTACCTCGCCAAAATTGTGATAGGACTGGCCACTTTGCATATCATACATGGTATATCTATATGCAACACAAAATATTTGTCTTTATGCTGCTTGTACGTTGGGTTAAATACCAGATGGCTTTCAGTTTCCTGCTTTTTTTTTTCCGAGAAAACGTGAAGTGTCCATAGAGATGTACAAAATGACTCACTAATTGCGATATAAATGCTATGGGTACATACAAATATTCTGAAACATTTAAAGATGGTGGCAAAACGACAGTCATGAAATAACATGTTGTAGTGTCCGTTGAGATATATATATGTAGTGTCCGTAAAGATTGTATGCCATATAAGCAAACTATGTAAGTGTAATAACATATTTTATAACAATGTTGTAATTTCAAAAGACATTTTTAGTTCTCTAACGTCATTTCACCTTTCAAGTAAATCATTGGAGGATACAGCGATGTGTCCGTATAGTACCAAATTGAATGTAAAGTAATGCACTCAAGTTTAAAGTAGCGCAACTTTAAAACTGCTCATCGCTATCCAAAAATTTACAAAGTATAATGCATCCTATCAATTGTATATAGTACAAGTTTCTGGGCTAAAAGTGGAAAATTTTGAAATTGAAAAATTGGCCCAAGTGCAACACCCTGGTACACCCTGATCGTGGAATAAAAGGAAGAGCGAAATATCCCACTTCGTCCTGGGAATCCCCCCCCCCCCAAGCGCAGTCTAGTCGGATATATACTTTTTATAGACCAACTTGTATGTGTGACTATAGGTAGCTGTACGTGCGTAGAAGACCTTGCGGAAGCCCCTGTACTTTGTGTCGATAAATATTCACGTTCATGAAAATACCACACTTATCACTGAAGTGCTGTGTCTAGCGTTAACTTTTATTTAAAATTTACTTCATCATTCACCACAAAACAAGGCTTATGGAAGTCACTCAAAATGTTTTGGGTTACTGTACAGGCAGTGAGGACAGATTTTTGTTGACCTTAGACCTAAAAAGTTTAAACTGTCTAAAAACACTTTTTTTCTCCTTTGAAGTGAAAACCTGCCCGTCGGTTGACGCACCTGATCGTGGATCAGTCAGCGGAGGAAACAGTTACAGTGACGTGGTGACTTACTCGTGTGAGACCGGGTACGACATGCTAGGCACGCCAACAAGAACATGCCAGGACAGCCAACAATGGAGCGGCAACCAGCCTTACTGCTTAAGTCAGTTTTGTTCTTTGTGAATGACAAGTTAACCTGGTTGTTCTCCAAATTGAAGGGAAAAAAGGTATAGCTGCCCAACAAAATAGTGACAGCTCAGCATGATGGCTGTTAACTTTATAGATAGGGTGGGTTATATGAAAGACTCAAATTTTGCATGTTGGTGTCCAAGAGTGTGGGGTGTCAAATAGGAAAATTGCAATGTTTGCAATTGATGTTAATGTTTTGAATTATCATGTTTGGCGCAACTGATTTTGGAATGGTCCATTTTTGGACATGGATGATTTTGGAAAGTCTCATTTGCATATCCTTCCAAATGTTGCTTTACGAGTAAACTATATGTTTGAACTAGGTTGACAATTGATTAGACATCGAGTATTATTTGAACATGATATGAGACCTCGAGAATTACCTGTTGAACAAACTATATTCAATGAAGCATGAAAGTTCATCTGAGTTGGAAAAATACATAATGAGAATTAAACTATTCTCCAACAGGAAAGTGACTCACCGGAATTTTCGACCGAATCACTCGGTCTTCATCAGATTTTACAGTAATTTTCGACTGAGTGAATTCGGTCGAAAATTCCGACGAGTCAATTTCTTGAGTTGAGGAAAAGTTTCATTATCATTATGTATTTCATTATTAAACTAGAAACGTTTGTACAACTTTGTAGAAGTCCGATGCAACACACTGAACCCACCAACGTCCGGTGGTGTTGTGGGTGGTAGCGAGTACGGAGACACTGTGCAGTTCAACTGTTGGGAGGGCCACACCCTGACGGGCAGCAGTAACAGGACATGTCAGGCAGACGGCCTGTGGAGTGGACAACCGCCTTCGTGTGTAGGTCAGTATGGCCGCCATGGTATTCATTCCTTACGAATAGTTGTATGACTGGGGATGTGATGTGTACAATGCATCATGCATATAGATACAATTGCCGATAAGGCATGATATAAAGCAAAGCGTCATGTATATGAGAAACATTTGGAACGCCCCAAGGAAAGATTCTAATGTAATTTTTGGCATTCTTGTGGCAGAGCGATTTTTAATGCTATATCTGCTCCTTCGCAAGGTTTATTTTAGTCTAAATAACTGATAGTTGACCCATTAGCATGTTGTTGTGTCTGTGAATTTCTGTATGACTCGTCTACAAAATATGAGTTGTGCACATACATGACATAAAGCTTGTTTGGAGACGAAGTTGTAGAACATATTCTTATTTGTAGTTCATGGAAAGAGACTATGGACTAAGTAGGTAGGAAAGAGAGCCAAGGAGTTTGCAACGTCAAATGAAATATGAGCTGTTACTTCGTCATGTGGGTAAAATGTGATGTTTTTCAGAGAATGAATGCCCGGAGTTGGATTCTCCTCCGAATGGATACAAAACTGGAGGAAACAGCTATGGCGACATCGTCATCTTCTTCTGTAACGATGGTTACGAGATGGCTGGACCACAGCCAGTCGTCATAAGAACCTGTGAGGCCGACAAAACCTGGTCCGGAACACCGGCCACATGCACACGTACGTATGTACAATCTATGATATAGAACAATATTTAATCAATATGCATTGACATATTACTAAGTCGTCTTAAAAAATAACATGCCGGTGGAATCCAATGTCTCCAATTTATTCGAGGGCCTTGATCACTTGACCTTTTTATGTCCTTAAAACGTTTTGACAAATCACACATACTGGAGTACTTCGAGGCCATTTGGAAATTTAATAAACTATTTTCACAACATTCGCTATGGCCAAACCAGATTATTAGTCTCCACCAGACTCCTTTTGCAGGCTGAATAAATCGTAGAAATCGGTCTAAAAGGGTATTAATTGGCTAGAGAAGGTAGCCGGCCATCGAGGATCCAATCGCGGCCTCCACGTCTGATGGAGACTACAAGATTATTGCCGTTGCCATCTCTGCAGTTCTGTGCTACTTTCATTCCTCAGTTTTGGTGCCAACATATTTCAAAAGGTTATGCCATTTTGCCCGGCAGGGTTTACTTGATAGCGTGCATACTAGTATACAAAATTTAAAATGCTGAGAATCGATGTACGTACAGGATTGGGGCATTATCTTCCTAGCCTGGTTACCAAACCTATTATAGCTCCCGAGTCCTACATCCTCTCCGCAAATCTTGGGAGCTATAATAGGTTTGGTAACCAGACTATTATCTTCCTATACAGGACGTGCTTGTCCACCTTTGTCAGCCCCTGTGAATGGAAATATAACCGGGAACAACCTCTACGGCGAAGTGGTCACTATCACCTGTAACCCTGGTTACGAACTGAGAGGCAGCACGACAAGAGGCTGTCAGGCTAATCAACAGTGGAACGGAACAAGCGCGACATGTGAAAGTACGTAACTGATAATATCTAAATATCACAAAGCAGCAAAAATGTTTAATTGATTCAACTATGTCCAGAATCAGTGTGAATACAAGTTGTCAAGAGTTTGTTCTGGGCTTTTACACGCATTATGCTATGTTTAAGCCGATGTCAGTCCCAACAGACGATGTTAGGACTGTTAGACTATACTTTGAACAGTATAGTGTCCTAATGAAACAATTACATCTTTCTCACATGGATGTTTTGATGTCTCCGCATTTCTTTCTAAAGGCTAAGGGAAATAAAGCAACATATAAAGCAGGATGGTTGTTTCTTGGTTACACGACTTCATTCACTCTTAGATGCCATTCATCTAGTGATATAACTTTTTGTCACCCCAGAATTTTTTCCGAAAGCATTAGCGTTGTCTTAGCCTGGGTGCATCCGATTTGCAAAGGCTTCTGGGTTGCCGTTACAAATCGGATGGCTCCCAGGCTAGCGTTGTCAGCTGTAAAATTGAAGGTGTATATTTTGTACATTTGCCAGGAGTCCAGTGTCCTTCCCTGAGTGCCATATCAGACGGACAGATGAGTGGAAACAACCTTTTCGGCGACCGTATAACGTTCGTCTGTAACACTGGGTACGAGCTGAGTGGGAGTCCGTCACGGACCTGTACTGCTGATGGGAACTGGACAGGAACACAGACGGCCTGTGACAGTAAGTTTTACCTTTACTTACGGATTAGGAGTATTAAAGAACGAAGTGTTGCAATTTTCATCAGTCTCCTGTGTTTCGAAATGGATTGATTCTCTTCGAAGGGAATTGCCTAAGCCTTAGAAAGGCTTAGATATTGGCCGATTTGTTTCATTCCTGGACCATTTAACCTGACCTAGACCGTATCCCCCCCTCCTTTTACTCATTGTAACTTGTAACCCGTTTGTTGTTTGCTTTGATAGGAAAGAAGTGCCCTGACTTGTCCCATCCCCTGAACGGCAACGTAACTGGTGGTTCGTTCTATGGAGACACAGCTGTCTATACATGCAGACAGGGGTACGATGTGTCGGACGGCACGGCCAGAACTTGTCAGGCAGACCAGCGGTGGAGTGGCACGGAGCCCACATGCCAGAGTGAGTAGATATTCGCAATTTCCTACTTGTCCATGTGGTACACAAGATCCCTTGCATCAAGATTTCGGCTTCCTTTTAGATGATAGAAAACCTGAGGGCCAAAGACCATGCTTACTATAAAATCACCCAATTGTTGTGGGGTCGTGTGGCGTAGTGGCAGAGTGCGCGACTCGGAACTTAGATAGAGTCCCGGGTTCGAGTCCTGACATGCCACCGATCTTGTGCCCTTGGGAAAGGCACTTTACACGACATTCCTCACTTCGCTCAGGTGTAAATGAGTATTGTCCTGTCATGTATTTGTCCCCTGTGTTGGTGGGGGCATTGATATAAGTTGATAAAACTTGAGTGTGCCATCACCACGTCTGGTGATTACATGTTGGAGTTTTAAAAAAATCACCCAATAAATTCGGCTAACGTAAACTACCGGACCTCAGTCTACCTCTGACTACCACGGTGGTAACATGGGTAGATGCCTTGCTAAGACAGTGACCAAGACAGGTTTCTCTTAAAGACATTTTAAAATGTACAGACAACAGATAAGGAATGGAGGTACTATAAAAAGAAGTTAGTCTCACTTAATCAAGAATTTAAGGGGAAAACTGGCTTGTCAAGCCCTGTATGGTAGTGTCAGATCCCTGGCGAGACATTGGTTTGCAGTTACTGTGTACGGTTCGAACAGAGCTATACTTTACATGTGTAATGTTTTCGTAGACTACCAAATGGACACGACAATTAGAAGATATGTTCCTTGATGCACTTACTCATATTCAGCTGTAAGGAAGGCATTTTCATGTTACAAATATAGATGCATTTGATACGGCTATTTACAAACTTTGAACACAAGGTTGATTTCCAAGAGAACTGAAGCTGTTGATAGTAATTTCTTGATTATGTGACTTAGTTACAATTATCTGGATCATTCTCCATAGTTTGGTAATGTTACTTTGAAAACCAGTAAGAAAAAAATATTTGAATCTGATTGACCTGCCATTGTTTCTAATTATAAATAAATAAATAAGGACTAGACAGTCTGGGATGTTTATGAGTTTATGTAGTTTTTTGGGGTCAATTCACTACTGGAAGAGCTGGGGGAGTGCCTCCTTATTTGTGGACCATTTGCACACACGATTCGTTATTAAGTGTATAGGCCAGGGACCCTCTTAATTATCCTATCAATTGTATACCTTTGAATTTGGAAATGAAATTACCATTACAATCTTTTCAAAGCGAACGGTTTCGGGTTTGATGGCTAAATGTGCTAAGCAGGATCTAGGATAGATTTACAAGGATTGTGAGGTATGAAGCTGTTATAAGGGCTCCCTTAATACATACTAAAAAGACCCAAAGAAAAAAAAATCTATTCTGTTCAATAATTGACATTCCATTTTTGCATGGGATAGGATATGGATTGAAATATGCTCTAGTTCAAATGTGGCCTTTTCAGCTTTGTGTGTTTCATGTTTATTTTTTTTCCAAGAAATTAAGTGCGCAATACTCGACCCCCCGCCCAACGGTGGTATCAATGGCACCAACTACTACGGTGACACGGTGGTGCTTGACTGTGACGTCGGATATGAACTGGTCGGTAGTCAACAGCGTACTTGCCAGATCAGCCAGCAATGGTCAGGGGTACAGCCATATTGTGAACGTGAGCTATATTTTATTCGAATGGCAGCGTATAATAATCACCATATCCAGATTCCACGAAAGGAACAGTCTGGAATATCAGTAAAGGACTGTTTTTGAATGACACTAAGGGCTATATTTGAATTTGTCGGAACGTTGACAGAGGCATTTCTATATTATTTTGATTATTTTGTTTTTGAGTTCAATAGATATCGGCATAGATAGTGAGTTCAATAGGTAGTTCTGCTTAACATGGCTACGTTAACAAAATGATTTACTTTAATATCGCTTGGCAACAGTCTGTCATTGTTCCTTTTGGAAAAATACTTTATTATAATTTCTTACTACCCCATGTATTACATATTATCATCAATCATTTATAGAGTTTGCCATACCTGCACCGTAGTTGACATTTGATATAAAACGTGTTCCTCAGGAAAGCAATGTCCACAGCTAACAGTCCCCGCCAATGGAGGAGCTAATGGTGGGATCTACTATGGCGATACGGCATCGTATTCGTGCGACCCTGGGTACGAGCTCTTCGGCAGCTCAATAAGGACGTGCCAGGCGGACGGACAATGGGCAGGCATGCAGCCAACATGTACCAGTAAGAGGAAACACACTTTGTTGACACTTTTGCCATCTTAACAGATTTATGTCTATCTCACAGTGTCATTAATTTCGCCTGTCTGGTCATACAGTCTACTAATACATTTATAAGACTCTTCACTATTGTATTTGTCCAACGTATAAAAGTCTTAACTACACGATCTACCCTCATTTTCTCTTATCTATCTTTTTCTTTTTTATTTTTCATAATAAACATCCATAAATACATATATGAATAAAATCTCCCAGTCCCCCCGTCTCCAAGACATAATGAGGTATTCTACCTTTTAATAGAAAAATAACAGATTTCTAAAAGACTCAAAATCATTTTTTTGTTCGAATTCCTTAAAGTGGGAAGCACGCTATGAAACCACAATAAAGTTACTATGTTTGGGGCACTTCCATGGATAATGCTCTTAAATATTCTTATGCATTATTAATCTAATTAATCTTAAGGTCAGGTGCATTGATTTATGATAATGTATATTTTGTCTCAGAAAAGCAGTGCCTAATCCTGCAGGCTCCAGCAAATGGAAGCGTTAGTGGTGGACACTTTTACGGTGACCAAGTGCACTACTCTTGCGACCCTGGTTTCGACCTTGTGGGAGTACCAATCAGAATTTGTGAGGACAGCCAACTCTGGAGTGGTATACAACCAAGTTGCATCAGTGAGTACCGTCGTCTTGAGGTACTAAAGGAAGAGGTAGTAAATGCTAGCCAATCATGACACCCCTTAAAAAAATAGCGTTAGCTAAAAGATTGAATATATGTATCGCGTTTCTTTCTGGAACTGAGGACGAGGCGAGTTTCCGTACGGTAAACGGCCGTTTCTGTTTGAAACGGTCGTTGCCGTATCGCTGAAGGTCGATGGCATATCTGAGCGTATCAACTTCTTTGAGGGGCATAAACATTCACAACACAATTCACAACATAAGCAGCAACATTTCAATTCCAAATATACTACAAACGTCGTGGAAATTAAAAAGATATTGATGAAAAGAGAAGCTCAGATTTGTTAATTTCTAATCCTCTACACCACAAAACATCACGATGTGGACGTAGCGTTGTAACATATTTGACACAAAGTTTGCCGTCACGCACTATCGACCGTTTCAAACGGCAATGACCGATCACGAGATGGAAATGAGCGACGGTGACGGCACTAAAAAGCTGCACAGTGCACAAACCGATTCGTTTTATTTTCCAGAAAAGCGGTGTAGTGTACTGACACCTCCCGCGCATGGCTCTCTTACTGGTACTCTGGCCTTCGCCTTCGGAGACGTAGCGACGTTCACCTGTGATCCTGGGTACGAGATCCAGGGCAGCGTGGCCAGGGTGTGTGAAGCGACCGGCCAGTGGAGTGGAATCCCGGCACAGTGTCAAAGTACGCCCTTCTGTTATTCTCAAATATTGCTGTAAATTCTTATCAAACTTTTTTTTACGTGTTAATGTTCATTTTTCATTTACGGATTGACACGGCAGTTTGAACAGTTTCATTTTCCTTTTGTTGGCCTCACATGTCGCAATTTTGTTTGTCAAAATACACCATTTGTCGTGATTAAATGCGCATCGGTTGGCGACTTTGGCCCATGCATGCACCAAGCCATTAGTCATTAGTCATGGAACTGTGATAATTACATGTGGCATAATCTTTTTTCTAGATAGTTTTCTCAACTCCAATTCCATATATTTCATACGTCAAATCTTTTGGCAATGTTTTATTTCAATACTTTATTTCATCATTAATTTTGGAAAAGACCTCCACATGAACATAATATGGTCAACATGGTCTCGGACCACACTTTCTATTACGATTTCGTGAGCTAACAGTCACGCTCAGGCTTCAATACCGCCAAGAGAAGTATGCCCAAAAATCTTGTTATATCAGTGAACAGAGGTTTCCAGTCGGCTTCCGATAGAAACTCCCCTGTAGTTCCAGAACAAGCAGTTAGGGGTACCCACACCACCTACTGCTGACAGGAAATGCTATTAGCCACAAACAAATAGGACCATTTCGTGTCCAGGACAAAAGTCAAAACACAGTCGACATACAGACAAACGCGCCAGGTGATAAAATCTGTGGCCTTATAACGATACGATGGAAAGCTGTTGAATTTGAAACCTATCAAACCAACAATATAGGATACAGCTATTTCATGTTAACGTTGTTCTTGCATATTCTTACAGAGAAATGCTGCGATCGCCCTGTTATTCAGTACGGTGACTACACAGGAACGCACTGTTACAGCGACACAGTAACCTTTAAATGTGATGATGGTTACCGTCTGCTTGGACTTGGCAGTCTGACGTGCACAGAATCAGCACAGTGGAGTGGCTCTCTTCCAAGATGCGAGAGTGAGTCAGGTTTTAAATACATCACATGGTCCCTTTTTAGTTTACTGATATTTTACATCTAGCCAAACAGACATCGTAGTAACATTTGTTTCTATCAGTCATTGTGCTCGGCGCCCAGCCAATTAGCTTGATAACTTTGGGTAAACGTAGCCACAATTTATTGTAAATTTTATTTTTATTACAACCCATCTAGCCCACTTGACTCTGACATGCGTCGCGTCCTTGTGTATGACTTTTTTCTGTTCAGATATGAACCACCAGAACACCTTTGACATGTAAACATTCCTGACATCAAATTTCCCGAATGTTGTCGCATGACAAAAATGAGTCTCATCTGATAAAGACAGCTAAATGTATGCCGATTATCTTTCGTTGATGATGAATTCATGCGGTTTCTACTGACAACAATGACAACTCGTGGACTTCCATGAAATATTTCGGCATTTTGTAAATTTTACTATTTATTTTTGCCATTAATCACTCACTGTTACAAAATATGTCCCATATGGATTAAATGATATCAAAGCAAATTGAGACCAAAGGCTCAATATTCTCAAAATTACGATGTTATTTTTCATTTCCGGCATTGCTAGCTAAACATTATCGATACCCTGTATTTCTCAACCCCAAGTGGGAAGGTATGCATTCTGTATGTACTCCTCTTTCTTTCTCTCTTTCAGGAGTCTGCTGTGACAGTTCAATCAGTATCCCTGATGGTTCTGTTAGTTTCCAGCCCGACAACTGTTACAATAGTCTTGCTGCCTTCAGCTGTACACAGGGCTTCTATCTTGAAGGACCTGACTACATCGCCTGCAATATTAGCGGTTTATGGCATGAACAAGTCCCATCTTGTAAAGGTATGATCTCTATACACCCCCTCCCCCAAATGGGGTCCAGCTAAGAGTGAGAATATTAGCATCCTACTCACATAGCTTTTGCCCAAGAGATTCGGGGGATGTATTTGGTAAGAGAAATGCATCCCCAAATCTCAGATGGTGTACGGACGGTCCCTGTTGAGGATAAGCAAGAATGTTTTTTTAAAGCTGGCCCGGCCTAAAGAAAGAACTAGATGATGGCATCGCTAAATCGGAAGAGCTTTTTAAAAAAGCCTAGCCTTGCCTGGCCTGGCCATGGCATACCAAATTTTAGACAATAAAACCTTATCTTTACAGCTACATGGTAATACCAGATTATAGCTATTTTAGTTCCAGAGTCTTTCTTTATCCTCTCAGCTAAGGAGCTAAAATAGGTCTGGTAACCAGACAGAAATTTAACGGCTTGACGTGTGATTGTTATCTTTACATGTTTCAGTAACGTGTTGTGGAGTCCCCGGTACAATTCGCGATGGGGTGTTTAACGCCACAGCGCTATGTTACGGTGACGTGGCTACATACGCTTGTAATCCTGGCTTCCTCCTGAAGGGCAACGCCTCTGTTGTGTGTGGTGACTTCGGGTTCTGGGGGAAAGCACCATATTGTGAACGTACGGATTATTCGATATTTCACCATCTGTTTAAGTACCGATCCTAACGTTTTTCCCATTTTATATGTTTTCATGTGTGCTATGATGTGTGTGACTATTCCCTTACACCAGTCTATAAACTAGTTATCACAACACATTAGCAGTTTTCGATCACTATTACCTTGGTGAATGTAACGATGTCAGACATGGACAAGTTAAAATGCTCCCCAACCCCCTCGCAGCTATTGTAGAAGACTGACGTATTTCTAAAACGTATATGCTTATTTTCATTTTTAAACTACCGATAGATACTATTTACATCTGCTTGAGTGGAGTGAGATGTGAATAGTGGCATCATGTGGGATGCAAAGCCGTCATCAAGGTATTGAGTAGTTGTTAAAGCTTTAAGATTTCACAAGTATTTGTTACTATCCATCCAGTCCTTTCAAAATTATGCCGACTACACATATGGGCAAACGCAGACACATATACAGGCAGATTAATCAATAACAATAACGACATTTTTCATGGAGGTACCTACATCTACACAAAGCGTATTCAGTACATTGAAAACCGCTCGAGTAGCGTACATGTAGAAGAAGAACTTTTTTGCACGACAATTGCACATGGTACAATGTAAAGTACAAAAAATAACAATAAATGTGTTCAATAAGACCTAATGTAGAATAAAACCTAACATTTCCTAATTACTCAAACAACAAGGGCAAGAGTTTCAGTCGTAAACTTAATGTTCCTTGTACTTGTTGAAAAAAAATTCTGGGGAATTTCTGGTACAATGAACCTTGCTGTAGGCCAACACTAAGGTACTGTGTATAAGTCAAGTCCATTCTGTCACCAGGAAAAAAACTGGTAAGAACTTTTACTTCTCACTTTCAATGACTTCAGCTTCTACCACATCTCACTCCACCCTAGCAGATGCAAAGGTGAAACTGTTAACAGTTAAGAAATTAAAATAAAGTGGCTTCATCACCTTGCCCCAACGACTCCCACAGAGGTCGAGGGATAGTTGAAGTGAGGTGAAGATAAAGACGTCACCTATAGAGATGTTTTCCTAGACAACTTTCTACAGCTGTACTCGAAGACTCTTTTATAACAGCAAAAATTAATAATGTTTAATGTGCATGACACGGCCATTGGTAATATTTTCTATGTACTAGCTTATCATTAATTTTCCCAGCAAACAGTTTGTGTGACCGAACTACCCTAGCCGTGCCGTCAGCTGGCTCCAAGATCTGCTTTGAAAGTCCCCAGGGTACGACTCCTGTAGAATACTGTCAGATGCACTGTAACGCCCCCAAGGTATACAACAGGTAAGGGATATCTATAATCGAAGAATTTTAACAGAATTATACATATGTGGCATGCATTTGGTTCACGTATGCATGCTACTGCCCTAACGTTTTTACGTTTTTTTTACGATGAAAAGTATAACCATCGTTAAAAGTATGATCCAATTTCTTAAGATATGATGCCTACAACACAATGTTTGATTTGTCAGAAACGATGACATGTACGAGTGTAGCGTTGAAACAAACTGGCTGTGGATGATCAGAATCTACCACGGCGGCGGACAGCAAGTACTCTCCAATGTTGACGTCGGAGAATGTTCAGGTAATGACCTTGTTCTTTGAATATCGTTATATCTTCCACAATAGTATGGCTGATACGCTATGGCATTACTAATCATAGCCAATATGCAAGCAATGGGTCACAACTATAGGGCATATATTGTACCACAACCCGAGTCCCTTCACCATGTTGTTCAGGTCATTGCCAGATGCATGGGTTACTAAATTTACTGTCACTGTAGGACCCATAATCATATCCGTTGACATTCATTGAACTCTTATTACCTTCGCCAAGAAGGTTATGTTTTCAGTAGCGTTTGTCTCTGTGTGTGTGTGTGTGTGTGTGTTTGTTTGTGGTTTAGCAAGATAACTCGAGAAGCAGTGGATGGATTGGAATGAAACTTGGTAGGTTAGTAGGTCTTCATAAGACCTAGTAAAAGGTTAGATTTTGGGCCCCTGGCGGCTTTCCTAGGTACTGCAGCAGAACTTCCGGTTTTGATATCTCATGATCAGGACATGCTAGGGTCGCGAATTTTGGATGACAAATAGCTCTTGGGATAGGAAAGACGTGACATGAGTTTGGGTTCCCTAGCGGCTTGTTCTGGAACTGCAATAGCAATTGTAGATGAAAATTTTCGAAGGAGGATAACTCAAGAACCGGTTGACGTATTGTCGTGATGTCGTGACGTATTTTGGTATGTAGGTAGTTGAAGTGATGCTTGACATAATCAGATGACAATTGTGCGAATCAGGAGCTAATTTGCATAATTAACGAGGAACTTCTATAAATCTGCTTTGTTCCATAATGCAAATATGAAACACTTGTCACATCTACTTGAGAACGAGAAAATCTCTGAGGATATAGATCATATAAATGAGGACCTAATTTGCATAATTAATGGCAAATTTTTATAATTTCATATTTTTAACTTCTGGGAATTTCATACTTGCCACATTTGGAAGTTAAGTGAAGGTGAGCATCAATAAACATAATTTATTCAAATCATGACCTTATTTGCAATCTTTATGAAGAAGTGCTATAATAGGCGTTTTGTTAAGATAAGGCTGTCATTTGGTGGAGAATTTGATCAACTGATATAATCCATGTAAATGAGGCGCTTATTTACAAAATCAATGATTAAAATTGTATAATTTGTCAACCGCAAGGGTTAACATCATTTGGCGAAGGTATGAGATCGTGGAACTATTGTTGATCATGTAACTAGTGTAAAAAAAGTTGCACAAATAACGTGTCGAAATAAATGAAATGGAAAACGATGGATATAGGAGTTTTCTTTTACACAGCCAAAACTTCTCACCTTCAAAGTGCTAACGTTTTGGTGTCTTATCAGACCCCTTCCTCATCAGAGCTTCTGACTGGAGTTCTGCTTCTCGCCTCTATATGTAATCGATGTAGGTTGCGCTTTTGTGGCGATAACGCAATCCCAAACGTGGCTGAGTTTATACACACCCTTGTTTATCCTTAGTATGCGCCAGCGAATTCCATATAGGCCCATTATAGAGAAATAAATGAATACACAGCAAAATTCAACTTGATAAAGCAATTTTATTTCGATGTATCTTGTCCATTTGCCGTACTGATTTGTGGGGTCTATTTCTAATATTTACCAGCCAATAATGCAGATCGTTTCATCTGAAATGTGAAATGTCTGGGTGACTCCTGCGTGAATTTCACTATTCACTGCAATGTGTACGTGTATTGTACAAGTATGAATTACGGTCATAACAACTTAGTAGACCTTAGTAGCTGTGAGGTCTTAGAGTATTATGCCACTTTCTTCAAAGTTGATTCGAGAACTGGCTTTGTCTCGCTTCCCCGCAGCTCCTTTGGATCCATTTGCTGCAATTACTTTTGGAGGCCTGGTCATCACGGCTAATGCAGGGCACGACATGGCTGCTATCGAAACAGAGATGAAGGACCTCCTGCTAGCCACCGGACTCTGCACAAATCCATGTGAAGTAAGAAATCGATATTACGCTCTAGAAAGACAATTTCAGCAAAATATATTAGAAAAAGGCAGGTGGAGAATGTGACCAAATGATATAATCCATGATGGAAATGAAATGAGGATCTTTTTTTCAAAATCAATGACAAATATGTATAATTTCATCAGTTGAAATGGTTAACATCATTTGGCGAAGGTATAAGATCGTGGAACTCTTGTTTTATCATGTTTTTTTTAATTAGCCATCGGGCATGTCTTTTCAATAAACTTAAAATTAAGCAGGATCAGAAATGGATATCTCTGAGGCCCAGGTGTTTCTTTTGAATTCATAATATCCTCTCAATAGATAGGCGAAATAAGCGTGGAAGTGTCACCTACTGCAAGGGTGGGACCTCGGAGCACCATTGCCTACTACCAGGTTTCCGTCCAGCTTCTTGCCTATGCCGACCCGAACCTAGTGACCCCCACCAACACAATTCAGATGGAATGGGTGCGTCTGGCAGGTGAACTTAGGTCTGAGCGTTATTCTATTAACTTGTTTACTAGACAATTGCAATAGATAACTTGTCATGTATCCTGTGATATCCAGTGAACGTGCTTTCGTAAATTACATTGGCGGGATAGGGGAAGATCTATTCATTTTTATAGCTCCACAATTTGAAAGCATTCATTCCTGTATGAAACGAACATATATTAACATAGAATGAACTATGCCTGTTTTTCCATTCTGCTCTAGACAAGTTGCCATGAACCTTGAGACTATGGTGGTTTCACAAACCTTGGACTTCCCCATAGCTGGAAGCAATATGCATCTGTCCGTCGCGGACGGTGGTTTGCAGATTTCATCACCCAGCCTTGGATGCATGAATGGTGAAATCAAGGAAGGCGTCCAATGCGGTATTTTGTCTTTATTCTATGCATCCCATTCTATGCATATATTTTTTGGTAGAAATAGCAGCTGTACAGGTGTTGATCACGGTTACTACCGATGGAATAAAAAATATAAACCGATTTAACTACATTGCAATCTTTAACCTGACCTTTTAAGTCCATGTAATCCTTGTGGGGGTTGTGGATGAACACTGTGTGTTGCTATTTCAAACAAGGCCTTATCCCTATTCAGATCGGGGTAGGGGTAAAGTTGCCAGATGTATTTTAGGAAAAGCCTCCCCGGTTTGGTGGATCTATCGCATGTCGTTCAGGCGCTATCTGATATGAACGCTGGCGCGGGTCTCGGTCTGGTAGGTAGGATTAACTCAAGCCGTTGAAAATTATACGACATGAAAGCTTGTGTGGGCCTCAACCCCGGTCTTCTTTTTGTCCATCTGCATGATCTTCATGACTGGCTCAATTACCTTATTCTAACTCCTATGGTAGATCAAATTCACCTGGAAGGCGCATTATCACACTTAATTCAGTTAAAAAATACTGCTCGATATCGCTTTTGAAAGCAATCCCATTCTATCCCTCAGGTCGCAACCTTATCTAATGCAACATTAGTAGTGATATGTAAGTCGGAGGACGTGATAATACTACTAACATTATTCTCACTATACACTTTATTATAGTTCCATGTGCTCCTGGTACCTACCATGACGTGTTTGAGCAGATTTGCCGCCCATGCTTCCACGCCACGTATCAGGACGAATTCGGACAGACAGAATGCAAGTCTTGTCCGAATGGTACAACGACAGCGAAGGCTGGGGCGAAGAACATAACTGAATGCAAAGGTATGTCCCAGAGCTGGAGATGAAGAATTTTTTTTTTTTTCTGCTCACGTTTCTGCTATAATGGACCTGCACTAGTATATCCGTGCTTTACCTTTCAGTGTTTGATGATTGTGACTGTGGCATCCACCCTTGTGACCTAACCCCTGCTGGCTATATCTGCAGCTGCTTGCCTGGTTATGAGGTTAGCTCGGAGGAAGAGAGGTGTATTGGTAGGTTCCAAAGTTTTCTTCTCTCATTGGAATCATGGAAAGCATTGGAGCAGTAACTGTATTGTGAAAAGAGGACAACCATTCTTTTTCTGTTTTTGACTGCATAAACCTGTTTATAACACAACACGTCGCGCTGAATCATTTTCTAGAGGTGTCGAGAATGATGGCCCGTAGTTTAATTGTAGGTACGCCAGTAGAAGCTTACCCTAGTACCGTCTTTGTGTAATTGAAGAAACGTCTTCCAAGACTTCCCTAATGTAGGTATAGTGACTCAAGCAATGTCCAGGGAGAGGTGGGTGGGACAATTTTAGGGGGACGAGGGCAAATTTCTTCAGCTCCTGTAAAATGACAATGATTCTGGGGCGTTTTCGTATGTGTTGCTTTTGAATGAAGGCAACCTTTTCTGCGAATTGCACTTTAAATCTCATTATTGTCGATGATCCAGTTCTTGTGCTGAGACAAGCCTGTGGGGAATATATTGTTAGCAAAATGGGAACATAGTATACCAGGAATCCCAAACGTCGTCCATTGAATCATAGACAAGTAGGCTAAGTATGAACCACTTTTGATCAATAGCTTACGTCACGTAACAGTAGTAAAGTCTCGTGTAAATAAGGTCACGTGTCTGTTTCCGTAACTCTCGCGAGATTACGTTTTGAAGTGATTGGTCATTAATTATCCTGATGAAGATGATAGTAGTCGCTCAGAATTGGATCTCTGTATAATCTGTGTGTTGAAATTAAGTTCAACGTTTTACTAAGTATGAATCTGCTTAACCATGACGTTGGAAGATCGTTGGATGAGCAGATAGAAAAGGGCGTCCTCGTCACTAAAACAATGTTTACAATGTTAACTTTTTGTTAGTGTGATGTTGCCAGTGAGATCAATTTACCACATAAAATCATAAACAAGACATGAACTTGTGTATCTCTTCATTTCCTTCTTATGACATTGAAAGTAACGCAATTAAACGATACGTCAAGCAAATTATGAAGCGGTTACAGTGTTAATTTTTTTAATAATTACGCCGATTAGACATTGACGAGTGCCAGCAGCCAGACGTCTGTCCCGGTGCCAGGTGTGTCAACAGACCTGGAACCTACTCCTGTCAGTGTCTGGATGGGTACGAGGAGCCCAACTGTATTGGTGAGTTGCCACTTAATACACGACTACATCTTTGCACAAAAAGCCAGATTTTCTGAGGTTTCCAAGCTCGGACGCGAAATCCCTGTCGTGTCCTAACCGTGCAACCGTAACTTCGCAATATTACTGATCTTATTATGCATACGTACGCCATGATTGTTGACACTGACTATGCTAAAGAAAAAGGAAAATAAATATATTCAATACCTACAGCTGTTATTTGCTTGCAAAGTATAGTTCTATATATCAATTTACAGTTTTGTCAAAAAAAAACACCAGAATTTCACCAGTAATATTAACAGCGCTAAAACGATGTTCACTTCGTAGCGGCGGCTCGTGCCCAGAAATACACGTCCTTTACCAAGCAGTCACACAAGTGCCACATACATTACAACATAAAGCTTGACAAAACAGTAAAAAAAATCGGTGAGTGTTAGATTTGAAAAAAAACGACCCGAGAAAAATGAAGTCAACACATTTTTCCTTTGAACAAACTAGACATCAATGAGTGCCGCTACGTTGGGTTCTGTCCCGAGACTTCAGACTGTACCAACACGGAAGGCAGCTACTACTGCACGTGCCATCCTGGTTTTCAGGGGGACGACTGTCTCGGTGCGTATAAGATGTATTCAACTATCAATCATCAACAGGAATGTAACAAGCTATCATTTGTACGTATGGGGCAATTTTTGAAGCAATGAAGAAATTTTCCATTCGCGTATCGCATCTTCTTTAAGGGCGTTTGTAAATTATGATCTTGGAATGGGAATTTGAAGGTTTTGAACTAAAATGTATGCGAGCATCAGATATATATGCAGCAATTTGCTACACGAGGCTACTGGTACAACAACTTTTAATTTTGATACAATTTGTATTCTGTTTGAAATTCTCCTACAGAAACGCTGCCATTTCTTGACTTCAAGATACATAGATATCTCATCAACTTGGATTTAGCAAAACAATGCATCTTTATGCCATAATTCCATGCACTGCATGTGACACAGTCTAACCAACAAATAGTAAAACATACTATAAATGTATTTGACTATATCCAACTAATTTATACCAGTTCAATATTATCGTGGAAGTATGACAAATTTAACGCCGAACTACATATGTTCCGTTTTTTTGTGTTTCAAATGACATGATGTATAATGCGATTAATTTCCAACCTGAGCTCCGTTATATTAACAACTAGCTTCCTCTTAATAGACGTCAACGAATGTCAGAATGCTACTTTGAACACCTGCGGGCCGGACCAGCACTGTATCAACACAAAGGGGTCTTATAGATGCTTGGGTGAGTTAAACAGTGAACAAGTAAGCGCTAGCGCCAGTGCACAGTAAACAACCCATATTACCTCTTATGAAAATGACAGTTGGTCATCGAAACGTCTGCTCTTGTTCAACAAGTGGTTGTGAATAAACAACTTCGCTATTCGCTACTGTAGGGATCTATAAAGTTCAAGTCATCTTATTAGTCATAATTTTTTAATCAAAATAAACATCAAACGTGCGTCTCTAAAACAAGGCATACTAGTTCTAATAACGGTATTTATACACTTGCGACCTGATATAGACTGGTCCAAGTGACCAAATACCCCCAGACGCTTTTTTTTCAGTGATTTGGATACAGGCTTTTAAAATTGGTTTATTATGACTTCACCACTATAGTCATGTTTGTGCAGAAGAAAACCCTTATATACTACATTTTACCAACCTGATGAAACTATTTTCGGAATTACAGCGAGAAGAACAACTACATACTTCCTTATCAACGACCCGGTGAATTATCTAATAATGTTTCCTCTTTTCAAAAAAGACTGTCCTAGGTTCCAACAGAATTGTTACAGCCTGGGCCTCAACACCGCCACCTTTTCTGACGCTGAACAGACTTGCAGAGAATACGGTGGCATCCTAGCAACTGTAAAGAATAGGGATACCCAGCTCTTTATCATGCAGCTTGTAGGCGACAAAGACACCTGGATTGGACTGGACGACCGCCTGATTGAAGGACAGTTTATGTGGAGTGACGGCACTCCATTTGGGTCGGAATACAGCTACTGGGCACCAGGTGGGGTCTGGATTTTGGAAAACTTCTTTCCCCTAGCTACCTTCATACAAATGTTAAGTTTGGTAAATGATAGGAATTCCATACTTGTAACATCTGTAAGTCATTTGAACATTACAGTGCATAGATTATGTAAATGCTATCATTTGCGTAATTTCAAAATAGCAAGGGCTTTCACCCATACAATGTACATGAGTAGGGAAGAGCATCCACCCCAAAATCATTATGGTAATTACAACCTCACTTACATAATGTTTACAAATCTAAAGCTCTAGATAATTCATGGAGCTATGAGGTTCTTCCGATTTCAAATCTACTCAGGTCAAGTTTTCACTCATGTTCATTAACAACACGCAGGTTAACCATGTTTCCTTACTCGTGGTAGTAAGAGTACACGAGTGACCTGGTCCTATATGCGAAGGTTAAATTCATTCAGCCAATCATGAACAATGGGAGAGCTACAATGCATTGTGACATGTATTGCTGAATTTTTGTTCCTTCATGATTCTTTCAGGTGAGCCCAATGATGCATCGACAACCTCTTCCCAGGACTGTGTGCATCTGTGGCCGCTGGCGTCGTTCCGCTGGGACGACCAACCGTGTGACAGGATGGAGTACTTTGTCTGCCAGTTCAGTGTAATGGCCGATCCCATCGGTAGTTGAGGCATTCTAGGCCAAGGGAATAACAACATCCCCAGTAATAATCATGATCATCAGCATGGTCATCGGGCCTAGCAATAACTCGACGAAAGCCGTCCGTTAGTAAGACAGACGGTGACGGCATTGTGCCGGAAATGGTATACTTTGTATGTAATCCAGGCTTAACAGCAAAGTGTCATTTGGTTTTGATTTGATTCGATTATTTTTTAGCTTTCGGATAATTGTAGACAGTAATAGCAGAAAGACTTGCTCGTAATAATACTTACTCCACTGACAATCATTAGGATGCAATGTACGCCTTTTGCAAGCCCCTGCCATACACTGTCATTGTCGATAGTTTGCTGTGGAAATTTGTCATAAAAATGGGATTTTAGATTACCATTTTTAATCGTTTGACCCAATGACATATACGGATCAGTTCACCTAATAACTTGAAGGGTCTGTCTTATGAAGCAAAATGTGGAAAGGTTACAGCGCACGTCGTCTAAATCTGCTGGAGAAGAATCGCTTAATTCAAAGTGTAATTAGCAGTATGGCAGATACACAACTTTTTTTGCTATCCTGGCGATAGAATTTGAAATCAATTCATACTACAATTTACAAACACACTCTCAATGATATCAACCTTTTCACTTTACTAGTTGTCAAGAAAACAAGACAAATGGGTCAGACTTACATTGCAAGTGGTATTTTCCTGGCCATCAAAAATGTTCAACTCTTCTAGTCTCTTCCGGTTCAATTAATGTCAAAGCTTTGCAACGTGTGCATTAAATGAAATTGCATTCTAGAAATGATGTCTCCGAGTGTTTTGTTGGCGCTGAAATTAACATATAGGTAGAAAAATAGGTTAAAGATCGGTATATCGATGGATTGATACATAGACAGAGAAAGATAAGAAACTGTGGAATACTGCTATAAGTATGTTTTATTGTGCCCGTGTGCACATGTGGCAATCCTTTGGGTGGGTTTTCGTTTTAACTCCGTTAAAGCTGGACGTGATACTGCCACATTCATTGCGCATTAGTTGCGCATAAATACTGACCTTTCTTTTTCCCCACACGCAGCTGTGCGCACAAGAAGCACTAAATTTTTCGATTGTCTTTTTTTTCATGCGCAAACTGGAGGAATACAGTTAAAGCAAAGCACAAAAGTACATTAGTAATTAACTTACGAACAAATGATCAAAGATTTCCATTCAGATTAAGACTGATAGGGCTTTTTTAAATATAATATTAATGTTCAAGATGGCGGTGACCACCCTGGTGATTTTTGCAAAAGGCAGAGATGCGAGCAATCGGGATACCTTTAGTATGTCACGTCTGCGGCAGGAGGGCCCGGCACGTGTGTACAATGTGTTTGCGCGGGCTGTAGAATGGGTATAGGATCGCTGTCTGGTTGGATTTTGATCCCATTATGGCTTTTCTAATGGAAACATTGGGTACGGTCAGGGTCAATCACGTCATAATTTGTCGCGGGGTCGTGAGGCAGAGTGCGTGGCTCGAAACCTAGAGGTCCCGGGTTCAGGTCCTGACATGACGCCGATCTTGTACCCCCTGGGAAAGGCACTTTCCTAACTTCGCTCAGGTGAAAATTAGTATTGTCCTGCCATGTATTTGTCCCCTGTATGTGTTGGTGGTGGCATTAATATAAGTTGATAAAACTTGAGTGTGCCGTCACCACGTCTGGTGATTACATGTTAGAATATAATAAATAATCATATCATAACCGGGAAGCCTTTAAGTAAGACAATTGCGTGTCAAACCTAGGGAACAGTAGCTTGAACATCAAATATACAAGTTACCAATCCGATACACTTTAACCCTCAAACACCCGAACTTTTTTTGTGACTTTAATGCCCGAACGGGGTCCAAATGGACCCCATTTGGTTTCTTTCAAATTTATATTCCTTTGTGCATTCTTTCAGTGATCTTTGCATATATATTGTTTAAACACAGTAAGAGGTATATGTTGGCATGATTAAGTGTTTAAAAATTACAGCTCATTATCATAATTTATGCAAAAATGGGATGAGGCCTGCAGGCATGAACATGGGGTTGACCTTTGACCTCATATGATTGTCAAATTATCAGACCTCTAAAAACCCGATGAACTAATTCCTGGTGTTAAGGTTACTTGGCAAACTGCATAATATCAAAGCAAATATGTTTCCTTGCAGACATATTGAGGACATCCGAACAATTTTGTGTGTAGGAAAGTGCAAATTCATGGCTGGGGTCCGTTTGGACCTTAGACGGTCTTACATATGACTTCCGTTGTTATTTTTACAAATTTGTGCCGATCTCCAAAAAAATTTAGGAGAACTTGTAGAAGAGGTTTATCGACAAATTCACGGGAGGAATTTTTTTTTCAAATGAAAAAAAAAAAATCAAATCGCACTTAAAAATATACGCCTGGGGTCCAATATACGCCAAATGGACCCCATTCGGGTGTTTGAGGGTTAAAAGTAGCGGCTTGGTAATACGTACCTTGGTGACGAAAACAAGAAAATATGCATCTCTGAACCTGCATCACGATTAGAATTTTCATCATAATCATAGATATGAATGATATTAAAATAGCCAGCTTCAGACAATTAACTCCACCATTTACGTAGGACCAATGCTGGGTTGTTTGTCACACGTCATTACGGATCACCTACATGCAGAAGGAGGCTGACACACCCTACCAGAACAACAGAAACCTGTGCCCGAGTCTCTGTGAAAAAAGTGTCAACTGAACCTATTCTGACTAACTTGAAAGGTATGTGTCTGCAAGTGGATAAACAATTCTGGTAAAATGCCTTGTAGGCGTTTTTTGCCACTGGCCTACGCCAATCGCCAATAGGGTAGGCTGGCAATCAGATTTCGATTGTCCATGTATATGTAATGGCGGAAGATTTGTCGTTTTTTTGGACTGACGACAATCAATGATGGTAGATACTAGTAGCTGTGAGAGAAGTCAGGACATCAGAAAATGTTAAATCATTTCCATCTTAACATCTGCTTGGGAAAAGATAAGTTCTAACAGGGGTAACATGGGTGCTGCGCCATGATTGTTTAATTTGCTGACGTGGCACTATTGGTAATTTTTGGCTGGAACCAGAACTATAGATAAACCATCATGACTTTGCTAAGCCACAGTCCGTTTAAACTGTTTTAATTATTTGATGTTACGACCATTTTTTCCAACACAAGGCTTTACAAAATGATGACGGAAACACAGCTTATCAGTCTATATTTACCAGGAGATTTTATACAACAGTATCATTCAAAAGTTAACGTAAGAAACAGTCCTTTAATGGCTAATTTTTTATGATTTTTCAGAAAGAGGAACTTTTTAAACAAAAGAATACCATTTTTCTTAACTCTTCCGCTGATTTTCCTGTGCGAACAGTTCTATAAGGTGGAGTACATAATATCAATATTCAAACAGCAAATCTCAGACAATTAACAGGTACACACCATAACAACTGGCAACAGGGGCCCCGCCGGGTAGTTTACGGGCTTTTTGTGCATTTTCGGGCGCGGACTCTTTTGTAAGCTTTTCCCCAGTGTCACTGATAATGGTATTTCCCACCTTTAGGGGTGCCACCCCGATAAGATCTCTCCTCAGTCCTTTTTGTATGACCAGAATGTTTTGAATTTGTCAACTATGGCTTCTCCCAGTATGTCTGCCACATATTTCGTGTGTGCTTGTCTTATACTTTTCTGAATTCCCTTTTTAACTCTCTTATATTATATTTGTCTTCGTCTTGTCCTGTTTTCTTAGCTTTGTTATAAAGGCGCTGTTTCTTACGACAATGTCGCCTTTGATTTCTGTTAAACCTGGGGAGGTTGTATCTGCTTGAAGTCATTTTTGCTTGGGATGTGCCTGTTCATAGTAAGTTCAATCTTGCCTTTGAAGTCTGCCCACTTCTGTGATACTGACATGTCCTCTGTTCTTTTGTCAAAGTTATTGGCATAGTCCGTGAGATCTTTCTTAAGATAATTCTTTTTTTTTTTTTAATTCATGACCCCGCACCATTGCCGGTGTCAAAGTGATTTCGCCCTCCCGGGTTGAGGTCATTAGCGATTTCGCCCCTAACCCCCCGAAAAAACAACAGGTTATTTCCTTGAAAACTTTCGTTTAAGCATGTCAAGGTACACAAATTTGTTGAATAATTATAATCAAAGTATTTCGTTGTATTTGGGGAATTATATTCCTTGTAAAGACTCTCAAAACTATTTAACTAATGATCAAATCCTGCATTGTTGAGATGCCTATGCTGTTAAGCATAGCTGTCAAGAAGTAGTTCAATCAAGGAGGTTATTCTTGCTTCAACCGAACCTGTAACAATATCGTTAGAGTTGTTAATCAAATTTGAGTACCTGCCATACCTGTGGTACGGTGTAAAAGGCGGACTAAACTATGTAAGGGGCGGGAGGGGGGGGGTCGAGATCACTAGCGATCTCACCCGCCGAGAGAGATGAGTCATGTAATAGTTGGTAAACACATTTGGCACAATATAGGTATCATGTCTTGTTTACTAAGGTTTATGATTTTGATATTTACCTTCGCAAAGAAGATTACGTTTTCAGGACGTTCGTGTATGTGTGTGTGTCTGTAAACACGAGAAGGCTTCTATATAAATAGATTGTCTTGATATTTGGTACATGTAGGTAGGTCTGGATGAGACCTCAAAATGATTAGATCTTGGTCATCCTAGCTGCAGTGGCATTTGATTAATAATATTCAAAAGAAGATAACTAAGGAACCGGTTAACGGATCGTCTGGATTTTGGTATGTAGGTAGCTGAAGTGGTGCTTGACATGATGATGTGACAATTATGCAAATATTGAGGTAATTTTCATAATTTATGAGGAAATTCTATAAATCAGTTGCATTACATGATAGGACTATTCAAGCTTGTGACATGTGTAATTGAGAATGAGAGAAACACGGGGAGATTTTGGATATGCAAATGAAGACTTTCTGTGCATAATTAATTTTATAATTTCATAATTGTAACTACCTGGAATTTCATACTTGGGATATTCAAAAGTTAAGTGAAGGTGAACATCATTAATCATATGTTATTCAAATGAGGATCTCATTGAGAATGAACAAATAAGAAAATAGAAGAATGGCATTCTTTCCTAAAGATAAGACTATTTCGGTGACGAATATGATCAACTGGTATAATTCATAGAAATAAGGATCCTAATCAGGAGTTATAACCTATAATTTGTCAGTATTAATGATTACTATCATTTGGCGAAGGTACGAGGTCGTGGAACTCTAGTCTAAATTGTAGGAATCTTTTTTTTTTAAGCCCGCCTTGTATTTTCGCCCAATCGCATTAGATTTGGAGTCTGCGTAAGGTGCCATCCATAAAATAAAATTCTTTGTTGTACATGACGGTACATGTATTTATGCATATAATCACCTAATTTGCATAATGAATGCAAAATTGATGATTCCTTGTTGGAAAATGTTTGACATTTCATACTTGTAACATGTTTTATATAATTAAAAGTTAAACATCTCTATGTCCTTATTATGTTAATGTGGATGCTATTTGCATAATTGTTGATACCATATATTAATTGGAACAAAACCTTGCCAAATGAACTCTGCATTTGCCATTAAAAAAATTTAAAAAACAAGAAAAATTGATAAGGCTCTAAATATTTTCATGTAGGTACAAGGTCTATGAATTATTGTTCATGCTGATTTTCAAGCCACGCATTATTTTTAAAAAAGACATTCAAGATATTAAAGGCATCCAGTGCAGTTTTAAGGGCTTGGAAACCTGATTTTTCAAAGCCAATATTCTGGTAATTTATCTACATAGTGAGTGGAGACAACACTTTCCCAATGTATATTGACCCTCATGGGGCAAAAATTTCCGAAATTATAACTGAAAATGGTTACTGTAATGGCCCTGGGCTCATTTTTAGGGTACCTCCTATAAAATAAAGGACTCATCTTGGGGCTTGTTTCTGCACTATGAAATGCTGACTCAAATGTGCTGATGTGAAGCAGTACGTGTCAATATCATAAAGATTGCCTTATTCAGAATATTTACTAGCCTGGGTGCCATCCGATTTGTAACGGCAACCCCGATTTTTTCGGGGTTGCCGTCACAAATTGGATGGCACCCAGGCTAAATATTTTACAGTTTTGCTGCCCTGAAATTGTTTTGGATGCCTTTAAGTAGATTTTTTTAGGTGGTGGGACATCATGGGAAGGAAGCTGCGACACGTGCTGATTTTCCTGCTCATCATCCTGAAGCAACCCGACCCGTCAGGTGCTGGCTGCAGCTGTCCACCTGTACCAGTCTGCAGCTGTGGCTGTGTACCATTCACAAACTACTACTGCGACGACAGGGGCTTCACCAGTATCCCCCAGAACCTCCCAACATCCATCTTCGGCTTGGATTTTATATCTAATAATTTAACAACCGTAAATCAGTCCCTTATGCAGAGGTATGGGGAATTGAGAAGGTTAGACCTTTCAAAAAACCTGATAAAAATGATTCAGCCAGCTTCATTCAAAAATCTAACCCGACTACAGCAGTTGTACCTTCAAATAAACCAGATAACAATGATTCAGACTGGTACATTTGAAAATCTACCCTGGCTAGAAGAGTTAGACCTGTCCAAGAACCAAATAATAATGGTTACGATGGGTACATTTCAAAATTTACCCCTACTAGAACAGTTGCACCTGTCCAACAACCAGATAACAAAGATTCAGTCTGGTGCATTTCAAAATCTGACCCGACTACCAAAGTTGATCCTGTCCAACAACCAGATAGCAATAATTCAGCCTGGTTCATTTCAAAATCTACTAGAACATTTACACCTGTCCAGCAACGAGATAACTATGATTCTTCCTGACACATTTCAAACTCTACCCCGGCTAAAACACTTGTATCTTTCCAACAACCGGATAAGGATGATTCAGTCTGATACATTCCAAAATGTAACCTCACTTCAGACGTTGTCCCTAGCCTTTAACCGGATAACGTACATTCATTCTCAAGCATTTAAAAATCTGCCCCATATCCAAAAGTTGTACCTACAAAAAAACAAGCTGTCTGCCATTCTCCCTTCAGCTTTTCGTATGTTGCTATCTATTCGTACCGTAATAAACGTTGACGGGAATCCCTGGCAGTGTGACTGTATGATGGCTCCTTTCAGGCTGAATACCACAAATTTTCAGTCACTTACAGACAAGATTATATGTTCCCAACCCGCCAACGTTCAGGGACGAAAGCTCACAGATGTCGATCCAGAAGACTTAATATGTTACAATAGCACCCCACACTATTACTGGTCATTTACACGAAATGCTGGCTCAACAGCACATCCTGTAGAAAACACGAGCAAAACAACACCAACACTAACTTCACCATTTTTTCATATCACTTCTGGCAAACCGAAAGATATCCCTCGCTTCCCAATACCTCTTATCATTGGCTCTGTCTTTGGTTCAGTAGTTGGCATTGTCCTGATTGGCACCATCTTTCTCACAATTTGGCACAAGAGGAGGGCCAAGCATCCTCCAATAGGATTGAATATTTTTGGTAGAAACAACACCAGTGATCTGACAGGGCAGGATCAGTCTCAAGCACAATCTCAAGAAACCAGTGATCTATCACATAACGAAATACTAGCTGCATTGAAGTCAAACCCTGTATACGGAGATGTAAAAACACCAACATCTACAAAAATAGCCAGTGGTCATAATCAGGCAGGGCAGGGCCAGTCAAATGCCATTACTAAATCCAAGACGAACACTACATCTACTGTAATAACCAGTGATGATGATCATCAATACGAAGATATTGACAACCATCATGCTAAAACAGGACTGGCTCAGTCAAAGGCCATTAATAAATCTAAGACAAACACCATAAGGTCTCGGACCGGAGTTTTTTTCACGATTTTGGATCCGGCGGACACCCTCAGACCGAAGGGCTATAACTCCGCCAAAAAAAGTACGCCGGGAAATCTCATTACATCAGTCAACGGAGGTTTCCAGCCGGCTTCCGATACAATTTTGGTTATTGTCCGTCGACTCTATAATTTGGGTAGAAACTGTAGTTAAACGTAAATTTTGGATACGAAAAATGTAGTTTTTTTGCAGTTTTTTCAACGGACCTGCTTGAAAAAAACGAATTTTCCCTGGCTAACGGCTTATATGCTGACATAGCTTACTACTTTCTGTTTCTGAAAAACAGAAAAAAAATATAGGTTGTTGCGATAAGTTTTTCGCAAAATCCGGTGACGCGAACCCCTAGAAATTCCACATAGAACGCAGCTATTTGGGTCATCAGGCGACAAACCGCATCACCCTTGCTCGTGGACTAATACCAAAAACGCTTCGCTGGCCGTCCAACTTCACCGCGCCGAAAAACACTACAATCCCAAGGCTTTTTGATCAATTCAAAACCTAGTTGAAAATCTACAACGATCGCCGAGCTATGGGGAGCCAAACCTAGCGTGACAACCTCGCAGATCCGGCAATTTACTGCTCACTATTTGGAACCCTGGTCAGAATTAAACTCCGACCCGGAACCATAACTAGTGTAATAACTAGTGATGATGATCATCAGTATGAAGATATTGACAACCATCATGTTAGGACAGGGAAGAGTCAGTCTCAAAACATCACTGAATCCAACACGAATTCCACAGCTACTGTAATGGCCGGTGGTCACTATGAAACATGTCAGGGTCAGTCTCAGGCCATTGACGAGTCCTTGCTTGTTAGCAATATATCTTACGGCATATTGCCGACTGCCTTGCAGCATAATTCTCTGTACCTCATTGAAGAAAACAACGATTAATTCTTTAAACCATCGTAAGTTTTTTTGAGACGTATCTTACTGTATGGGCTAGAAACTGACCCCATAATGTTTTGCACGAATTCACTAGTTTCCCATCCCCAGAATGCAATGCGAAAATAGGGGTCTAAACCTCATTTGCATAGGACAGTATAATAGTATGTTTATCTAAAGTGTACCGGTACTGTTAACTGATACCTGTTCCGAATTGTTTATGTTCTTGTTGTGAAGACTAGCCCTTAATAATAGCCTCCGTCTAGTTGGGTAATGTAATGTACCCATTAGTACCTAAATAGTTGCAGTTGAAAACTTGTTGTTATTGATATTAATTTATTGTTACGATTTTTTTTCAAAACAATAGACCAAAATAAAACACAGCTTACCACAGATGGTTCAGAGCTCGAAATTAAAGGTGGTCCGATGGCTAGTGACCACTAAAATTTGTCTGGGACAACTAAAAAGACACGTTGGTATATTTTTGGGACAATAAAAGATCAACATCAGAATATCAGCCCTTCTTTTGTTAAGCAGGCACACGTCCTGGCTCTTGGGATAGCCGAAAAAGTCCCCCCGAATTTCCTGTCTACACTGCAATTATAGTGCACCTGGGAGTGAACATAAGCAAAAAAAAATTGACTTCAAATACTTCCTAAAAAAGGGAGTTTGGGACAGTGCATCCTCACTTCGGGACAATTGAAATTTTTTTTTGAGACAGTGCGGGGACAATAGGAATAAAAAGTAATTTCTATGAATGACATAGCGGTCTTCGTCAAGCTGACGGAGGAAGGACACATAGTATTGGAATTATATATAATATTGTATATAGTATTGCATATTAGGCAGAGACAGATAAAAATTGATAAACTTATAAACAAACAATTTAGACAGTAATCACAATGATATTTATCACACAAAGTATGGGATAGGGCTGTTCTTATATTTGTTGGATCTTACCATCGGTATACAAAGCTGTTCATTGCTTTTTAGATTTATATTGTGTACATCTTTCTGGGGGAAAACAGTTTCTAAATGTCAGTTAATTGAAAAGAGATTTGACGAATTTGGCAAACATGTGTAGTGTACCAGGAGAACGCCAGTTGACCATCGCTTGATATACTTTGTAATTCCGTATCTGAACTTCATGTGTATGTCAAAGATGTTGTTTGGGGACTTACATTTTTTTTAAATAACAAATTAAAGTATATATCTAGTCGTTATATAAGAATTGTACACAAGTTTAGATGTTACGTCGCATAATACTTTAATGATGGATATTGTCCTGAAAATGATCATTTCTAAGAACAGTATTAAGTTGTTTGAAAATTGAGTAGCACAGTTATTATTTTCAGAATAATTTTCATGCACTAATTGAAATTCAATTCTATTTATTCAATTTGACAAAATCCTACAACGCACCCCTGAATTGTGCTTCGATTTTAAACGGTTAAATAAAGATGGAGACAAGTGAACAAAACACACAATATACATTATGCAATCAACATCCAAACTAAAACAGGGCAGCCGTGGGTTGTCATTATCACCAATTAATTATCACCCACTAATACAGAAACTATCGAATATACAAATTACCAATACACTGCATGTTGAAATAGCTCGTTTTTTTTAAACTAGTATTTTTCGCTGTATGTTCTATAATGTAACAATTGGCTTACAAAGATCAGCTGGTGGCATTTTAAAGTGACTGTTTTAGTTCACAAATATATATGGATTTGTACTTTATTCATAAATCTATTAAATATTTACCACTTATTACCATAGCGATGCCTGTTTAAATCATTTAACACCATCAATAATCAATTGTTTTAAAATTCCCCTTTTATCTAGATGATAAAAATAGTAATTTTATATTTATGATTGTATATATTTAATAACATATTTTACCTACATTATAAGATTGTCACGGTTTTGATATCATATCATTCTTCATTTTTTAAACGATATATAGGTTTTTCATTGACGTGAGAATAATTATTTTTCTTAATCCTGACTACTCGGTGCACACTGTAATCCAACATGGCGCATATGACGTCATGCACTGTAATCCAACATGGCGCACATGACGTCATGCACTGTAATCCAACATGGCGCATATGACGTCATGCACGTGAAAAGCTACATACCGGTATATTAGGCCTTGTTTATATAAAGTCACCCAAGGCGCTTTACATGTGGTTTACCCCGAAGCTGGTTTCAAGCGGCTCCATCTGAACGCTCCAAATCACATTAAAAGCACCTCGATCCCAAGCCACTTCTAGAGGTGGTTTCGAATCGGTTTTCCGCATCGCGATTTGAGTCTGAACGCAATGCGATTTCAATGTGACTTCGCCTGGTCATGGATTACGGGGTGATATTTCTTTATTTATATGCAATACCAAACTTTACGTGGCAGCAACTTAACCCTACCTAGACCGGGGGGGGGGTGCTAAAAGTGCCCGCGGCAACTTTGATGTCACCTAGCGTCTGAACGGCTAGCCGTAGAACGACCAAACTTGGTGACTTTTCCTAGAATATTGTTGGCAACAATTCTCCATCATTGGAATAAGATAATATTTTTTTGTGTTGCCATGGCAACGGGTTTCTGACAGGCATTTTTTGCTAAATTTAGTACTTTTTGTTTCAACAATAGAATTTTATGGGTTTTATGTCAAGTTACTCATGGTTTCTAATATTAATAACATCCCATATAATTTTATGTAAATTTTATCATTAAATATGAATAATTTATGCTAATTTGATGACGTCATTGGCCAAAATCCAAGATGGCGGACCATATCATTAGAACAGGTATATACAGGTTATTTTCATTAAAATTTCATCAATACTTCCATTTCTTTTTCCAAAAAAGGTTAAAATGAAGGTCTTTAGTATGTTTACAATGTATTTTAGGCTTTATCATGAAAAAAAACTATTTTTGAAAACTCAAGATTGATGATCCAAGATGGCGGATATCTTAAATATGCATGACGTCATTTTATGACGTCATCGGTGTTGCTTTGGGCAACATAAGACTTAGTACACCATAATATTCTGTCACAAAAACTTTCGGTACAGTTATGTTTAATACCATTTAGTTTTCAGGGAAAAACCTATTTAGACAGTTTTGGCCAATAAAATCACATTAATGACGTCATAATGACGTCATATTACGTCATAACGACATAAAAATTGTAGATATGATAAATTTTTACTAGTACACCATTCCCTGAAAATTTGGTGGTCATACGCCATACC